ATATTTACATGATTATATATATATACACATGTGTATATATAATTTCTAATATCTATCTGGAATGATTTCTTGGAATTACGTTCCAGCGTTAAAATTTACTTTTCATATATGTTTCGTGGTTTCCTTATAATGAGCATTACGACATTAAGAATGTTTTAATTTGTATTAAGTGTTCTTGAAATGAAGTCGAACACTCATCCATAAAGGCTACTAACAGATTAATACAATATCATTTATGAGCTAATATATACTCGGCATATTTTTTTTTTTTTTTTTTTTTAGTAATAGACTTGTAAGAACTCAATTATGTTTTTTCTTTTTTTACATCTTACAGAAGTACTTTTAAGAACTATTGTCACCACGATTGATTGAGACAAGTTGATAGCATTATTTATGTTTCCTTACAAAGATAAATTAATTAGTCACATGTTTTATCATCGTGCCTCGACGACGCTGTCCTTCTGTTCGATCATATTGCACGTTGAGGTAACATTAATCAGGTAAATGCTAATCTTCGAGCTAAAATCTAAATGGATATACGTATCAAAAGAAACAATTTTGACTTGACAACGATGATCTACATTCTAGAGCCACATTACCGAGATTATCTTTCATCTAATACATATTTTAGACGTGCAGTATGATCAATCTTTGTATAATACTTTCTCTGGAACATTCTTCGAAAGTTTTTTTTCATGAAAAAAGTCGCATATAAAGTATAAATAAAATAGCTTGTATGTTATTAAAAAAAAAGAAAAAAAGAAAAAAAAAGAAGAAAGAAAAAACGGTTACAGATTAATGATAATGGCAGTGAATAATCTCGAAGGAAAATATCAAATATAAAATGCCGCTTGGACTGTTATCGATTCAATTAAATTAAAGAGGATTTATAATCGTTACAGGAATGATACAATTAAATTCAAATAATCAACGATTTCGATCTGTGGCTTGGCACACATAATAGCAATGCATTATTGTTAACAATAGATCTTACCCGTCGTTTTAGCACGTATTAAAATACTTTTAAAGTTATACGGTATAAGAATAGTTACCGCAGTCACTCACACATTCGTACATATACATAAGAAATATACACGTATACGTGCCACAAAATGAAATTATGTACGAGCGCGGCACATTCATTGAATTTCATTCATATGCACGCATATACTCAACATACGTGATGTCATACATATGTCATGAAAAAGTATATCTATATACATATTCATGTATATGCAATCCTAATATAATGCATTTTTTCTACCTTGCATTTTCAGCAGGCTGCAACAGATTTGCTTAAAAGATTCGTCTAAAATCATGTTTCTAAAACTGTCAGTCGGCTTAATAACATAACGCGTAAGAATTTTAACATCGGCTGATTTTATCTCACTAAGCCGGCCATTTTAACACGTTTCTCTTTTCTCGCAAATATCTCTGAGCACTGATCAATTTATTTGTCCACATATTTTTTTTTTTATAGTTATTTCTCTCTTTATAATAGGTTCTGTGAGAATTTCCATAAAAATGATATTATTGCCCTCAGTAGCAGTTGAAAAGTAACACTATCTTTTATCAATTTAT